GTTGTGAAAAAACGTCAGGTCAGAGTGTTCATGTCACACGTGTGACATTTATTATTTGGGCTATCTTATCATGGACACTACTCAAGCTAAGGAAATGAATGGGATGAGTTCTTGCAGGGTGACCGCCCTCTGCACCTACATAAACCATGGGTCAGAACATGATAAGAACGTCTTAATGGAGTGAGGGAGGGGAAGAGGGGGCTTAAAGATTTTTTTTTTTTGTATAAAAGAAGACATACACCTGGTTTTAAATTACTCTGACCTAAACAGCCGAAGTGATACAAGATTTGAGGAGAACAATTCAAAAATACCACCAACAAGCGAATCAACAAATAATGAAAGAATCGCAACCTGAAAAACCACCAAGGTTTTGTTGAAGTGAATTCAGTGCCTAGGCGGGAGTAGGCGAATACTAGAGGAAATGACCTTCGCATGCTTCCAAAAATGGGCATGACTTCGTCGTAATGCCATCCCTCCATCGCTCAAGGGGACTCCCCACCCCCTCCCATTGGTTCGAAGGGTGACGGCCCATTAAACAATAGGACGCTCACCCTATAACTCAAATGATAACTGAGGAAACAAGACAACCAAGAAAAAAAATGACTAAGCATGACCACCACCGCAAGCCATGCCATGCCAAGAGCAATGCCATCGCTCCACGATGAAAAACTAGGAGCGACCAAGGGTCCCGTGATGATGCCTTCAAGAAGAGGGAATGATGCTAAAGCATCGATGTCGCTTTGTTCGACAAACCGGACCAAGTGTTTTCACCAGGAGCCAGAGGTGGAGTGGCCCAAATCCATTGTGGTGCTTCTAAGAAGAGAAATGACGTTGGAGACTGTCTCCCACTCGCATTGACACCGTTGGGGCCGAGTTTTGCCTGGTTACGAAACACTATCACTTGGATCCCGCACATGACAAAATACACCCGCCATACACTATAGATATAGTTGCCTCTCAATCCAAGTCGTCTTGGGACGAGGCCAATGGGACAGCCAACCAACCGTTGGCCACTAGACTAAGAGGTCCACTGAGATGTGAGGTTAAAGGGGGTCGAGGTAGATGGCACCAATATCCTGACGGGAGCAACCACAACTACCGCATCTAAGCTATTTTTGTCGTGGAAACAACATAAGAGTAAGGCACATCTCATTGTTAGCACTCAAACACAAAGCTAGCATGGTGTGTACAGGGGCCTTACAACAAAGGTCGTTGTACGTACACCAACAAAGTTGACACATTGATGTTTCTTAAAGAAAGTGTGGTCACCTCGTGGAGCATGACCTACTCATGAGTTAGGAGAGGCGTCGGGATAAATTCTTCGCTCACGAAGTGTCAAGGATGTGCTCACTTTTGAAACTCCCCTTCTCCTAACATTCTAAGCCTTACAAGGTCCCTCAAATTCGTTACCCAACCCTGAGCCTTTTACGGTCCCTTGGAGGGAGTGTTCCCCTCCCTTCGAGTTGATTCAAGTGAGTGTGGATGACCACAATACCCATGGGGCTAAGCCAAGGGGTCCTAGAAAATAGCAAGGGCACCCTTGAGGTGGGAGGTGTCATTCTTGGTCCATGAGTTCAGGGTGGACTAGGGAGGGGATGTGGTGTATGGTGCATGCACTACTGCAGGAAGGCCCTAACACGACACACGTATAGGAGATCAATCGACCAAACTGTGTGTGATGCATGAATTGCAAACGGTATGGTAATAAAACCATCACCAATAAAACGAACTATGTGCGATGGCTGATCCATCAAGCACAATTCAGATTAGAGTTGCGTGTGCGAATCGTGGCATACTGTTGATCCATACAAACTGTTTGTGACAAACAGAAACGGTTAGCCAAATCAAGGTGTGTGCGATAGACAGCATACAGGTCCTCAGATGAACTGTTTGCGATGATCCAAAAAAACACAAACGATTACCCAGCATAAGATGTGTGCGATAGACGACATACATGTCACTTCGATGAACTGTTTGCGATGATTTCAAAGTACACAAACGATTCGGCTTAACAAGATGTGTGTGATACCCAACAAACAAGTGAGTAATTAGAATTGTGTGGGAAGACCGATAATAACACATATGGTTCCTGCTAATAAGTTGTGTGTGTTGATATGCAATGTGATTTGCTCTGTCTGCACAACATCTATGTGTTGTCTACAGAACAACAACATATATACTTATAACTACATGATTGCATAACCAAAAAATAATCTAGTTACATAAGTGATTATAGATAACATTTGCACACATAAGTAAACAATTACATGCACACTAAACTAAGAGAAACGGTCATCAAATCATCTACTTATTATTGTGACGCTTGCCTTTGCTCTCTTCCAGCTGGATCCCTCGCAGTTTAGGGAAGGAGGCACTTTCACATGTCAATGATCCGCCTGTACATCTCGTAGCTCGTGTACGCCTCATTTGCCGCGTACACGACATGATCTTCGTCTAGTTTCTCCATCCAGGGCGAGTGCTAGGCAAGTGCTACGTCTGGAGCTTGTGTTGGTTTTCCTTGAAGAGGAAAGTGAAGGAAATATGCCCTAGAGGCAATAATAAAGTTATTATTTATTTCCTTATATCATGATAAATGTTTATTATTCATGCTAGAATTGTATTAACCGGAAACATAATACATGTGTGAATACATAGACAAACATAGTGTCACTAGTATGCCTCTACTTGACTAGCTCGTTTATCAAAGATGGTTATGTTTCCTAGCCATGGACAAAAGAGTTGTCATTTGATTAACGAGATCACATCATTAGGAGAATGATGTGATTGACATGACCCATTCCGTTAGCCTAGCACTTGATCGTTTAGTATGTTGCTATTGCTTTCTTCATGACTTATACATGTTCCTGTAACTATGAGATTATGCAACTCCCGTTTACCGGAGGAACACTTTGTGTGCTACCAAACGTCACAACGTAACTGGGTGATTATAAAGGAGCTCTACAGGTGTCTCCAAAGGTACATGTTGGGTTGGCGTATTTCGAGATTAGGTTTTGTCACTCCGATTGTCGGAGAGGTATCTCTGGGCCCTCTCGGTAATGCACATCACTATAAGCCTTGCAAGCAATGTAGCTAATAACTTAGTTACGGAATGATGCATTACGTAACGAGTAAAGAGACTTGCCAGTAACGAGATTGAACTAGGTATTAGATACCGACGATCGAATCTTGAGCAAGTAACATGCTGACGACAAAGGGAACAACGTATGTTGTTATGCGGTTTGACCGATAAAGATCTTCATAGAATATGTTGGAGCCAATATGAGCATCCAGGTTCCGCTATTGGTTATTGACCGAGAATGGTTTTAGGTCATGTCTACATAGTTCTCGAACCCGTAGGGTCTGCACGCTTAATGTTACGATGACAGTTTTATTATGAGTTTATATGTTTTGATGTACCGAAGGTTGTTCGGAGTCCCGGATATGATCCCGGACATGACGAGAAGTCTCGAAATGGTCGAGACATAAAGATTGATATATTGGAAGCCTATATTTGGATATCGGAATTGTTCCGGGAGAAACCGAGATTTTTCCGGAGTACCGGGGGGTTACCGGACCCCCCCCTGTTGGGGAACGTAGCAGAAATTCAAAATTTTCCTACGTGTCACCAAGATCTATCTATGGAGAGACCAGCAACGAGTAGAAAGAGAGTGCATCTACATACCCTTGTAGATCGCTAAGCGGAAGCGTTCAAGTGAACGGGGGTGATGGAGTCGTACTCGTCGTGATTCAGATCACCGATGATCAAGTGCCGAACGCACGACACCTCCGCGTTCAACACACGTACAGCCCGGTGACGTCTCCCACGCCTTGATCCAGCAAGGAGAGAGGGAGAGGTTGAGGAAGACTCCATCCAGCAGCAGCACAACGGCGTGGTGGTGGTGGAGGAGCGTGGCAATCCCGCAGGGCTTCGCCAAGCACCATGGGAGAGGAGGAGGAGGAGAGGCAGGGCTGCACCAAGAGGAAGAGAACTCATGTGTATGGCAGCCCCAAACCTCATCTATATATAGGGGGAAGGGGGGGCTGCGCCCCCTTTAGGGTTTCCCACCCCCAAGGGGTGCGGCCAGCCCTAGATGGCAAAGGGGAGGCGGCCAAGGGGGGAGAGGAGAGGGAGGCGCACCAATATGGGCCTTAAGGCCCATCTGGACTAGGGTTTGCCCCCTCCCACTCTCCCTTGCGCCTTGCACCCTTGTGGGGGGCGCACCAGCCCTCCTAGGGGCTGGTACCCTCCCACACTTGGCCCACGCAACCTTCTGGGGCAGGTGGCCCCACTTGGTGGACCCCCGGGACCCTCCCGGTGGTCCCGGTACAATACCGATATCGCCCGAAACTTTTCCGGTGACCAAAACAGGACTTCCCATATATAAATCTTTATCTCCGGACCATTCCGGAACTCCTCGTGACATCCGGGATCTCATCCGGGACTCCGAACAACATTCGGTAACCACATACAAGCTTCCTTTATAACCCTAGCGTCATCGAACCTTAAGTGTGTAGACCCTACGGGTTCGGGAGACATGCAGACATGACCGAGACGTTC